TCGCAGATTCACAAAATAAACTAACATTTAAGTTAGCCTTAACCCAAGATTAATTAAAACTTAAATTTGCTGAATGATTAACGCAGCCTTATTATTTTAATTAATAATGGATGAATAAAATATTCGTCAACTTTCACATTTTTATTACCCACGCGAGTAATTGCCACATTTATAATTCAAGAATTTAATTATAAACCAAAGGGGGTGAGTTCGCCGTTTATAGTTATTCGCGCTTTTACCTCATCAGGTATTCGGTTTCAATCAGGTGTGTAATTAGGTAATAAGCTAAATATAACGTGACCGCAAGCCGCCGACCATCCTTTGACCCAACTCAAGCTATAAATCCCACACAGCTGTCAGATACAAATCACTTTCAGCGCTCTGAGGGTCAAGTTGGGGGACAAAGAAAGAAGAAAAACATAAAGCGAAACACGTGCAGACAGGTGGCCATAGGTAATTTCACAGGTGACCGTCAGCCGTTGGCTGTGGAAACTGACATTTAGGTGCAGTGACAGACGCTTGGCTGGAAATAGAGGCCTGGGACCCTGAATAAAAATCTGATTTAACAAATGATACGTGCTGCTAAGGGATTTTCCTTGAATACATCTTGGTGTGCAATTCAAAATTGAATTGCCTTTTGGGTCTTTGATTTTAAGATGCAGCTTCGTAAATAATAGGCTGAACAAGGAGAATATTCAGGAGGACTAACAAACTAAGAACTAAGCTTAAAAGCCCCTGTCATTAAATTAATTTGAAATTACAGAGCTCCGTCATTAAGGCAACCAGCTTTCATAGGCGATTATATTATTGCCAACTCTCTGAATAATGAAGCATAAGTGTGGAGTAAATTCATTGGCACCGGCAGGTAAGCTTATTAATTGATAAGCCCCCGGAACTGTCGATTCGTTATAGCAGCAGTCCGAACTCAACCAGCATAACTAAGAACAGGCTTAGCTGAAAGCCGATCAGGACGCATTCAATTTGCACATCTCTTAAGTAAAATCGCACATAACTCAGGCAAAAAAGTACACCGAAAACTAAGATATACTATTTTAGGATTGGAAAAATATTATTAAATGCAGATAACCGAAAAACATTTTTTAAATCAAGATATAATATTTTTAAATTGTTAAAAGTAACATAATAAAAGACGAGTTTTCTTTAAATCTAAATTTAAATGTGGCTTCCCCCCAGCAATTAAGATATTTCTGATTTAAACAGGTTAAGTAAACGAAACTGCCTTTATTCAGAATTTAAAATGGCCGCAACCCACATGGCATGCCACAAATATCTCACCTCCGTTTATTACGCATACGCCACCGAGGCCACTGGCATCTTGGCATTGCAAATAAACAGCAGTGGGCACGAACTGCAGCAAAGACAGCTTGGCAGCTTCTGTGAAATTCAGTCGAAATTCAGGGGAATTCTAGTTGTTACGGAGAATGCCAAAGTAGCATCAGCTGAGCATTTTCCCACCAATTCGTCGTAGTCCAAAGTTCAAAACGGAAAACTGTTGCATACATCCGTGCGCACTGCGCACACATACACGAATGTCCATCAAACTGCTTGCGAAACGGAAAACTGGCAAGTAACAATGGAACATTTTGCTTTTCCCTGCCAGAACTGGTCGCATTCATTTTCGCCACCGTCGCTCCTGTTGAATTGTTAACGAATGAGTCAGTGATGCCCCAACACGAACTATATTTTTGGCCGTTTTATGGAGATTGTTTCGAAGGCCGCAAGCGGGAAAATAATGAAAGCCAGAGTAATAACCTTTGGGGGCAATCCACAATGGTAATCCATCCGACTCGGTGTACATGGAGCTGACTGAATCCGTCGAGGATTAATTAAGAAGCCTTTGGTAGACGAAACTGCATGGCCGGATGTACTGCAACCCTTCATTTGGCTCAAAGCCATGGTATTTGCCAGCAAATAGCGGCGAGATTCCCAGGAAAAAGTCAATTATAATGTGTACATATTTACAGCATAATTTGTGTGCGCTCAGCTGGCTTACGAAAATTGTAATTGGCAGCCAGATGATAAGACGGTCTGGTAATTAATTTGCCGAATCAAATTAAATTAAGCGCTTTCAGAATCCCGGCTTAATTAATTCATCACCATGTCTCTCACATTGGTTTGCAGAATGACAAGTTGTTACTTAACCGAATTCCTCATTATTTTATTTCATTCCTGACTAAAGTGCGACAAATTGTTTTTCATGCTCTGTTGATTTAATTTTTGGGAAAATGTCATTGATCCTGTCTCGGAATATTCAACCTGTTGTCTCGATACTTACAGAGGAATTTCCCCTTCAGAAAGTTGTGCCTCGAAAGTTTCAGCTACATTTACCTGTAAACGTTCCTATTTTTTTTCTTTTAAAAGTTTTTCTTTACGCCCTACAAGCCTTAAGTTGCGAATTACTGCAGATGTCAGCTTGAAGTTTTTGCAGTAGCTAAACTTTTGGTGACCTTGTCAGCCAGGATGCATTCCTCGGAAATAATTCTTAAAAGAAACTGATTAGTAGTCAGGTTGAAAAGAATGTAACAAACAATCTAAAATGCAAAAGAAAGGTATATTAAAATGAGAGTCTTCAAATTAAAACTTAAAGAGTAAACATTTTAGTAGAATAAGTTTAGCTTCAGGCAGAAACTATGTAATAAATCTTTTCTCTGTTAAATCTATGGCTGTGGGCAGCTTCAAAGTTCCGGGAATTTAAGGTCAGCTGCCCTGATTTCCTGGAAAATTAATAATAACAGTAGGACGCCCTTTGTATTCCCACTTAAAGAGTCAAGAGTTCAGTGAAAAGGGCTTACCTCAGGCCAAGAACTATTTAATTTATTTGTGTTTGTTCACCCCCACTTATTTTCACCTTCGCTCAAAGAAATCTATGAAATTTTATCACTTCCAGAATTCAAGGAATTTCAGGACAGCTTCTCGGATTTCCTAAAAATGAAGCTTTGACTTGCAGATGTCTGCCACTTTACGCATTTTAATTAAGCATACGCTTCGGCCAAAGCCGACCGTACATCTCAATTGCGCTGGAATTCAGCTGGGAAAAAACCAGGCATAATCCACTCGATAATGGAATGCTGGTAATTCGAATTAAATTTATTTATTAATGACTCCTGGCGCTGGCAAAGAATAAAGCAAACAGAGAGGGAAGAAATCAGCTCAGATGGGGAAAGTAATAATAATTTAAACATGCTATGTAAATTTGCTGTGTGGCCGGGGCTTTCAACCAAAGCTCAACCAGTGGCAGTGGCAGATATAAGAGTTTGTCAGCACGTGATGGTATTACCAAAGGCGCTGCCACAAAGCACACAACACTCGAACACCCAGGCGAGCGGACATACAAATAAATCAATGTTGGCTTCTGGCAAACCATTTCGGGGGTCAAAATGAAAAAGTTGAAATTTATTTGAAAACCCTGAAAGGAAAAGCTATAAAGCTACTACAATAGTAGCTCCTCCACCTGGCTCACCTTTCACCTGTGCCCCCAAAATCTCTTTCTAATTCTGCACAAATTAGGCACAAGAGAATCGAAATTGACCTGAAATCAAATACAAGTCAACATAAATTCAATTGCGAGTATTTTCCAGATCAAGGTCCTTAAGTTGCTAGGCAGGCAAACTACCCTGTATGAGCCGATGTTCTCAGCTTCATGGCGCTCTCAAGTTTTGTGTAATCAATATGCGAATGAAAGGGTAGGAAATGGCACTGCTTTACCAAGAGAAAAGTATATTAAAAGTAAATCAGAGGAACAGAACATCCCATCCTTTTTGATTGGCTTGGTTATGCCATCTCAGAGCTCATGGAATTTTTTAAGCCAGTCATCAATAAATTTTATTGTGTCAAGGAATTTTCCAGTTTAATAAAGGCCATCTTTAATATCAGGATTTTCCTGTAGAGGCATTCCTTTAACTTTACTGAAATTTATTGCCATTTTTTCTCATATCTGAAAATAAAGTTTAAAGCTTAAAGAAAAGCTTGAATTTGTTCTCTTCTGTCACTTAATTCCATTTCCCTTTAGTTAGGCACTTAATTCTTTTAGCTTCAGCTTCAAAAAAGGCATTGCAAACTTTTCTTTTCGAATGTTTGTATTCCTGGGATGTACGCATTCTTTGAATGTTTACTGTTTGCCAAGTAGTTACTAGGAAGCAAATATTTGAGAGGCTTCTGTTTGTTGTTGCTGGAGCGGCATAACGTATACGCCACGTTGCACGCGCCACGTTAAGCTCATTTACATCAGCGCAGAGTTTCCCAACTACATCGCATCGAACCGATAATATTATGTACAACCATTGGTGTATATTGCACGGATGGTTACTCGCATTTGATTACCGAGGGTGTTCGGGGACCATGAGACCGCGACCCCCAACATCCAGCCCAATTTATGTGGCAACAACCAGGTGAACTAGCTGGTGTTCAAACAATTGGAGCCATCAGCAACATGAATATCTGTATTATTCAGCCACGAAAACGTTACTAGGTCTTCCCTTTCGATTTAGACAGATTGAATTTGTAAAAGCGAAAGAAGCGTTGAATACCATCGGGTTGGAAAATGTAACGCCTTTGTTGTCACTTTAATGCGCAATTATTGAGAGGGGATGCCATTGTTGACAAACAGGCAGCCCACAGTGCACTGCGAAAAATACTTTATAAAGCAAATGTTATGTAAAAAATACTTTAAGAATATTATACAAGTAAAACATGTAAACAGTGGGGTTTCTCCATAAACCGCATCAGAATTTACACATAAAAAGTGCAGTTAATTTTTCCAAGTGTCGTTCATGGCAAAAAAAAAGAAAGAATATAAAACGCTCGTTTTTCCAATGCTTCCTCCTTCGACTGATGCTCTCTGCACTCAAAACCAACACAATCATTGCATCAAATTTACACAGAGAGCGGGAAGAACGATTGTCAATGCTTTTAACCAAATGAACTTATGTCGTACATAGCCAGTTGAGTATAAATTTGATTGATCAAGAATGTGTGTGGAATTTCAATTCAATGTTCAGACTTTATTGGGGCACTTTTAATAGAGATCCACGTTGCAATGCTGGCAGCGCCCGTTGACGATGGTGTTGCCGCCCCTCCGGTAAATTGTGCCACTTCCACCTCCTCCTCCTCCGCCTGCTCCCCGGGAAATTACCACATTGCCATCGTTTGGATTCGAGGAGAAGCTGCGGTACTCCTGGCCATCCAAGTAGACGGGTTCTCCATCCGGATTGGGACCTGTTCGAGTGCATGATTATTCATTTGTTCTCCAATTACTGACTGGCTAGCGAAACAATCGAGACTTACAAGTCAGACAGCGGCCATTTACCACCACTGTGCTGGGATGAGCTGCAAATGATGAGCAAAGTATGTATCAATTAGCGTCAGTAGCAATCCCTTCCAATCCCGTCTAGCTTACCGTCGATCAGAGCCGGAATCAAAGCCAACAGGAGCAGAACACACGTCAGGTACTTCATATTAGAGCCGATAGATTGCCGGCTCGACTCTCACGGGGCTTATATAGTACGGCACTAAATACGATCCGAATCGAACTCAATTTGCATAAGCTTGAATGTTAACGGCAGTGCGCTGCCTTTGATTTGTTCTATATATTGAACTATACTACTGTATATTCCCACAAATTTCCCCTCAGCACTATCAAATGGCAAATCAATGGGGTTTTCCTCGAATGGCTTTGATAAAGCTCGACGTAATTGATTTCCTTGAACTTCTACGAAGAAATTTATGACAGTCACGCCCGAAAACGCTGTTTACAATTATCATTCGACGCTCTAAACATGAATGGCAAACAATTCCAGAGAATCACACCCCCATCATATTTACCCATATATCTCAGCAAAACTGGTTTCAGTACCGAAAGTCGTGACTCGTGAGCAGAACGTATGGGCAGCTAAAAATGGTTTTATTCACAAAGATAAAGAGTTGCGGAAAAAAAAGACATTTATTTTTAATAGAACAAAATAAAATACATAAAGTCTTTAAGCATTTAAATTAAATACAAGATCTTTAAGATAAATATTATTTCTTGGGTCACTGAAAATACAATTTTATTTTTAAAGTCAAGATCATATTTTTTTAATCTTTATTTTTAAGAAAATTATATTTTATTATAGTTAATTTAATCAGTACGTAGGATACCCACTGAACACCACGGCTGACTATCTGATGCGCTTCTAATTGTTTTTAAAAAGTATCTGTGGGCAATTCCCTGCTGCGATTAATACTTACGTAGCGGTTTGTTTATACTGCGAAAGTTCTTCGCAGCGATAAGGTCTGTTTGGGTTCAGAATCGGAATCAGCATCGGTGATTGCATCGTATATAAGCGGCTGTTGTGGATCGTACCTGGTCCAGACCAGTTCGACGTTTTGATAGACCAGCACAATGAATAACCTGACGGCACTTGCGATTCTCGCTCTTTCTGCCCTGGCTATAACGGAGGCAGCTGTTTACATTGGCGGCGGTTGCTACGACTGTAAGATAATCCCCATTAACCTACATTACTTTCCTTAAATCGGTTCCCATTTTTTTCCATTTTTGGACGTCAGTAGAAAAGTTGAAAAAAAATAGAACCCCTTTTATTTGACCTTTTTCTTATGCTGAGCGTTTGATTAAACGAAAATTATATAGATAGGTTTCAAATATTTTTTTAAAAATTATTTATCTGATAAAATATAATATTATTATATTAGTGCAAAAGAAACCAGGTTTCCTAAAATATTTAGCTTCCAAAACATATACTTTCTCCCTTTAAAATTTATCTATAGGCAGATTTAAGTTTCTGCGGCAACCATCCCTATAAATTAGTAAAGGGTGTTAAGCTGTATGCGCAATTGAGTAACCACAACAAACTCATTTAAATTTCACTTTTAGGTAATCCGCCTGGAGGCCAGGGACCCGGAGTCTACACAGGTGTCAACGGTGGAGGCGGAGGAGGCCGAGGAAATGGCGGTGGCGGAGGAAACTACTATAACAACGGTGGTGGAGGAGGCGGAGGAGGTCGGCGCCCAGTATATTCGGGCAACTTCGGACCAGGCTACAGCAACGGTGGAGGAGGAGGAGGAGGTGGAGGTCGCGGGGGTGGTGGAGGTTATGGAGGTGGTTACGATGATGGCGGTCTAACGCAGATTATAAGCGGCTGAGAATATAATCTGGAGGCTTTGCAACCGCTAAATCCAGCAAATGAGCGAAAGCTGTCTGATATTAAGATTGTATATAGACTAAAATAAAAAAAAAACCAAACAGATAAGGAACGTGATTAAATGCATTATATACAAAGTATATAATACACGAAAATGGATAATGCTTGTTGTAAACCTCAAACATCTTTACACTTTTTTTAAATCTGTTGACAATTTTTGTACAGTTAAATAATCTATAAATTGGTTTTATTTACCTGTGTAATTGTTGTGCTTTTGAGTTAAACTGATAAATATTGCATTATAATTCATAATTACAACGCTTAAGTCCGTTCGTGTGTTAATTAAGCTTATTAACCGCTATTAAATCTGTTAAGGTTCTTTACATATACCCGCAAAAGGGGTAAATTCGTTTAATTATTCTGCATAATAAAACTTGTATTTTACGATGTGTTAAGTACGTTATTTAATATTCCGCATTTAAGTTGAAAATGTGTAATAAAGCATTATAGTGTTATTTCTTTTTGAAATTTCTTGGCTGTTTGATGTAAATGTACTAATTCCGACTATCTTCCCAGCACAAATACAACGATGAAGAAAACTATTTGGAATTTACAAAGAGTCTTCCTCTTACTGGAAAATCGTATAGCAAAATCTGTGCCCCCTTCTGTAAACGCTTTACTGCATACAATTTTCAATGTACATTTTTGCCTTTTACAAAATCTCAGGAAAAAAATTACCGTTAAGGCCCACAAATTGTTACTGTATTTTTGAGTGCGTACGGAACAGAAAATATTTTATGGTGCGTTCGAATTTCCATTGGGCAAAAGTCATAAATTGATGAACGAAAGGCTCTTTGAGCTGGATTAGAGCTTTTTCACCTACCTTTCATTCGATACTCAAAATGATTTGTGTGAATTTTACCCAGGGGAATGCCACTGTATTCGCTGGATTTATAGCCAATCGGTTTCGGATTTTGCTTACATTTCAAATTTTATGTGGAAATAAAACTGAGCGAGGTACAAATGAATAGGACGCATTTTTAATTAAACACCATCAAAAGGAAATCTCATGCCTGTCAAAAACTTAACTCTGAAAACGTGTGTTTTTTATAATTAGTATTCATTGCTTATACGTTACTTTTTGCACTTGCAATTACAAATGTAAATTGCACTTGCTGCCACATAAATTATTCGTTAAAATAGAAAGTAGGAAGAGTTAAAAAGTAACTTGCTCTAGCCCATCAAACCGTCTGTATTTTGTGGTCGAAACAGCGCAAGTCCAGCAAATGGAAATAATTGATAAGCTTTTCAAAGTTTCAGCCCTATACTTATCAGTCTTAATTACACGTTTCGCCCTTGTTAAATATGCAACGCATCGAATTTCCCAAAAGTTAGGACAAAGAACCGCTCGGCGAATCCACCACCACTTAATTGAATCAATTACAAGTTCGATTTTTGTTCGTTCAAGGATTTCGGTAAGCTAAGCTAAACTTAACGACCCGGAATTAAATTTGGGGCCATTATTAAAGTATAATTATCGCTATTATAGAATGCAATCGGTCGATAATTCACCAAGAATATTTGCAATTCGTTTTTTGTCCCGTTTAACGAATCCTAATGATTCCAATTTTTGTGGGTTTACTTTTGTATTAAATGCATTTATTTCTGGCGAAGAAAGGATTTAGCCATACTATTTTTAGTAAAGCCTTTTCTTCCTCTGCATATTTCTAATTAAAAATCTGAGACACAAATAGTTGTTTCATCGAGCTGGCGAAATAACAGGTAAATAGCATTTAAAGCAAACAAAATAAATTATTATTATAAATTTTTAAGGTAAATTCCTTTTCTGCTAACAAAACAATATATATACTTTGGCACTAACCTATTAATTGTAAGATTAAACATATATTTCATTGCTATTTTTAGAAACATAATAATAGAAACAAACTAATTATAGAACTAGAGTTAAAGTTTTCAATCCGAAATATTTGATATGCAAATTTAAGTACACTTCTTCCACTTCGAAATTCTCCCCAACGCGTAAGATTTGTTTTTGTTTTTATACCCTTGCAGAGGGTATTATGATTTCAGTCAGAAGTTTGCAACGCAGTGAAGGAGACGTTTCCGACCCCATAAAGTATATATATTCTTGATCAGCATCACAAGACGAGTCAATCTAGCCATGTCCGTCTGTCCGTCCGTCTGTCCGTCTGTCCGTCTGTCCGTCTGTCCGTCTGTCCGTCTGTCTGTTTCTACGCAAACTAGTCTCTCAGTTTTTGAGCTATCGGGACAAAACTTTCGCAAAAGTCTTCTTTCTATTGCAGGTAGTATATATGTCGGAGCCGACCGGATCGGACAACTATATCTTATAGCTCCCATAGGAACAATCGAAAAAAAAAACTTTAAAAAATTCTAGCTTCGGTGTTTTTTGAAATATTACTTTCTACTTTTGGGGATGTTATTTTTTAAATATTTCTGAATTTCGAATTAATTATTTAAAAAATCGGACTACTATATCATATAGCTGCCATAGGAACGATCGGAAAATTAATGGAAAAGTAATAGAAAATAAATTCTAGCTTCTTTGGTTTTTATTGTATTATCTTCTACTCTAGGATATGACTCTTTTTAAATATTTCCGAATTTCAATTTTAATTTAATCAAAATCGGACGACTATATCATATAGCTGCCATAGGAACGATCGGAAAATTAATGGAAAAGTAATAGAAAATAAATTCTAGCTTCTTTGGTTTTTATTGTATTATCTTCTACTCTAGGATATGACTCTTTTTAAATATTTCCGAATTTCAATTTTAATTTGATCAAAATCGGACGACTATATCATATAGCTGCCATAGGAACGATCGGAAAATTAATGAGAAATATTAGAAAATTGAACATTTTTGCGATTTGTTAATTAATAGGAATGATCTGCAAGGGTATATAAGCTTCGGCTGGCCGAAGCTAGCTTCCTTTCTTGTTTTCTTTGACTTTCATGTAAATGGCATCTTGACGAACCGCAACACTTTATTTGATTTTTGATTTTGCGGTTATTATAAAAACTACAAGTCAACCCAAAAGGCTTCAATGTATTTTCTTTCGATTAAAACTTCGATTTTCCAGCTAATATGAAATAGCTTCCCATTTTTTAAAACCCTCTTTTTAATTACTCTTTTACAACGAAACACCACAAGTCAGGTGCAAAATTCACTATTCCATGGAGCAGCAATCGAGTTTCCCAGTGACGGGAACTGGGGACTGCTAATGGGAGGTAATGGGGGTATGTCGGTTCTGGCAGAGCCATTAGCGTTCAATTTCCCTGCTGGAAGGTAAAAACTAAGCGAGCTGGCGAAATTAACTTGGACCAGCCACCACCTTTTGAAGCGAGCACGAGCAACTCTTAAACCTGCGAACTTTATGTTTCATATTGCAAGTTTGCTTTGAAAACTATGTTGAGGTACGCTCAGAAGCGGAAAATTAAAATTGTTTTCCAGCAACGCTCAATATTCTTACTCCGATTTCTGTTCTGTTCTATTAATTGGGGCTACGATTATTATTTTTGCTTTGAAAAAATATTTATGGCTTTCTTTCTTTGTTGCACAATTGCGAATTTCCTGAAAATTTAAATAGAAAGAATTTAATTTCAAAAGGAAGAAGGTTGTAGGTTGATATTTCGGTGGGTGTACTGATAACAAGATAATCTTAAAATGCAAGATTGCTCTTAGACTGTCCGATTTGTAGTGACGTACTTATGTACATTTCACCGAAAACAAACAAAGCACTGCATCAATGGACCAGTTTGCCATCGCCGGAAGGCATCAATACAATAGCAAAGGCAAACTGGCAATCTAAAGGCTGAGCTTGTTGCCAAAGAAAAGGATCGAAATGATGGTTTAACAGAATTCCAATGCGGGGAAAAAAATCTGGGAAATATCCGGAGGGACGACATAAGAATGCATTCGCATCCCGTCCTCAAGTTAAGCTAATATTATCTTTATACCCTTGCAGAGGGTATTATGATTTCAGTCAGAAGTTTGCAACGCAGTGAAGGAGACGTTTCCGACCCCATAAAGTATATATATTCTTGATCAGCATCACAAGACGAGTCGATCTAGCCATGTCCGTCTGTCCGTCTGTCCGTCTGTCCGTCTGTCCGTCTGTCCGTCCGTCTGTCCGTCTGTCTGTTTCTACGCAAACTAGTCTCTCAGTTTTTGAGCTATCGGGATGAAACTTTCCCAAAAGTCTTCTTTCTATTGCAGGTAGTATATATGTCGGAGCCGACCGGATCGGACAACTATATCTTATAGCTCCCATAGGAACAATCCGAAAAAAAAACTTTAAAAAATTCTAGCTTCGGTGTTTTTTGAAATATCAGCTTCTACTTTTGGGGATGTTATTTTTTAAATATATCTGAATTTCGAATTAATTATTTAAAAAATCGGACTACTATATCATATAGCTGCCATAGGAACGATCGGAAAATTAATGGAAAAGTAATAGGAAATAAATTCTAGCTTCTTTGGTTTTTATTGTATTATCTTCTACTCTAGGATATGACTCTTTTTAAATATTTTCGAATTTCAATTTTAATTTGATCAAAATCGGACGACTATATCATATAGCTGCCATAGGAACGATCGGAAAATTAATGAGAAATATTAGAAAATTGAACATTTTTGCGATTTGTTTATTAATAGGAATGATCTGCAAGGGTATATAAGCTTCGGCTGGCCGAAGCTAGCTTCCTTTCTTGTTTTATCTAAAAGTAGCTTTTAAAATGTTGATAAGTTTCCTAGGTAAATTTTTGATGGGCAGGTTTAGCGTTGAAAGCCTACATTAAGTTTTAAATGAGGACGAGAAACAAGGAATGAGAATTCAGACTTTTCTCCCTTTTCAGTCAAAATTGTCGCCACATCAAAGTTCATGTGCAATACAGATGCCATTTAGAAAAAGCAATACAGGTTGTGTAGTTCGACTGGAAGTTTTTTTCAAGAATTCAATTGGCTGCCACAGCAGGTGTTTGCTTCGATATTGAAATTCAGCTATCTTCCTCCCTCTGTAATATTGTATCTGTGTGCCACCTTGGATCTGCGGTTTCAGTGGAACTTTATTTTTGTCCTTCAAGCTGTGGTTGGTGTGTCGGTTAAAATAGAATTCAGGGGAAAACTAGAACTAGTTAACAGACTGACACAGCGTTCTCGATGACCTTTGCCAGTAAAACCACAATCCCAGTACAACGGGAATATTCATTTATTTGAAATATGCATTTAAGTTAGCTTAACATACGAAAAACACAAAACCAGTGCCGCTATCCGACCCAGTAACCCGCCCGCCCAGCAATCTCGCCCCAAAAACGACACCGGAAAATTCACAGACACGTAGAGATAGAGTTTTTCTTCTTCTTATCGATGGGTGACTAAGGGGAGCTGAAATGCTTGGCATTCTCGTTGGGACAACTACAACCCAAAAAAAAAGACAAAAACAAAAACACAGGGAACTCAAACTCAAACGCAGACCAGCAGCCACAACCGCAGCCCCACATCACATCGCACTACCAAACTATGGGTATTGGCCGCATTTCGATTTACGGCCAGATCCGCACCACCAGCAGCATCAGGAGCAGCGTCATCGCCAGCCGGAACCCCATCCAATGCCATCTGTCCATCCCCAGTCCCAGTCCCCCTCCGGCACCGTTCGGGGCGCAGATGTTCTGGAGGACGGCGCAGTTCCTGAAGTGCTTCTCGTCCGACAGCATTTTGGCCGTCTCGCGGGCAAACTCCGCCGAGTTCTTGTAGCACTTGTAGCGGGCACTATTGTAGATGCAGTTCTCGTACGCATAGCGGGCACTGGAAAAGGACCAAAAACTTGATTGATATCGATTCTGGGAAAGAAGTCATTCGCCACTGCCAGCGGGGGCGTGTAATTTAGTTGCCCTGGCCATAGCAAACAACTTGTTACTTAAAAGGGACACCGCTGTTTCCAGGAAAAACGGTCTTGTAAAAAATCTAAAAGACGTCTATTCAAAATGACAATTATACTACTAGTTTCAACAGATTTTGGGACTTAAAAGGTTCATTTACAAACTATACTATTTTAAATTTGTTAAAGGAAATTTTTCTAGTTAATTTATATTTCTCCAGATTCTACTAACTGGCTGGATTCATTTAAAGGTCATAGAAAATACATTTTTAATAAATCAATTTGTGTTGTTAAAATTTTATCATAAGCCTTGAAATAATACAATATATAAAGGGCAGATAAACCATTTAAAAATATTAATTATTGGTTTAACCTAAATTCTTTACAGCGAAATTTTGTCAATCAGGATATTAAGATTTCGGAGGGCATGGCACTCGGAAAACCTGGTCGTATTGTATGTATATGCAATGAAAATATTTATTCAAGCATACCAGCAGAATTCAAGGAACTTTTCGCTGGCGTTGCGCCTCTCGTCGTGCACCTCTTCGCTGAGGATGCCCTCGAAGTCGGCCGTGCAGGTGACCCAATCCAGTTGGATGTATGCAAAGCAGTCCTTGTGCCGCAGGTAGTCTGCAAACAGGAGAGGGATGAAGGGGAGGGGATTCTTCAAATTCGTGTATAAATAATGCTCCTGCTGCTGTGCTTTTGTGCACTTTAAAGCCTGTCAAGTTGAGGTCCTTTGTTTGGGCGACTTAACGGGGGGCTTTTGCTCCCTAATCTGGGGCTTTTTGTGTATATTGTGAGATATGCGTGTGTGCTCGACACCTCGACGCCTGTGGGTATCCTTGTGTTTACCCCAGAGACAACTTGGCAAATTGATTTCGAAATGCTTTCAAAACATACCTTTAAATGTCGCTAAACTTACCCCGCTGAAAGTCGGCGTCGCCACAGAATTTGTAGAAAAATCGACGAGCTCCCTCCACATTATTCTTGAACGTGCCCAGCTTTCGATCGTCCAGGCAACGCTTCGAGTAAGTATCGAAGCACCTCATGCCGCGGTTGAATATGCTGCAATATGTAATTCGATTTCAGCGAGGGACAATTGAGTGAGGTCTAATTGAGTGCCACTCGTGTTGCCCCTCCGGTGGCACGACTAATGTATGTATGAATTAAATGTGTCTGCCTTAAATTATACGTCTGCTTTAATAATTCAGTTTTTTGCCTGAATTTAATGTAAATCAAAAACAATTTAATCAATCTTGTTCACTTAGCAGAATATGCATTTCTCTTACTAACAAACAAAAGAAATTCAAAGAATTCATTAGACCCTTAAATAAACTGACAGCCAATGTATAGAATCCAAAGTGCAAAGTCTTGCAAAATGATATTAATGAAATTTTACGCAGGCATTTCAGAAATTTCCCCAAACTAATAAAATTTCAAGGAAAGCTATTTGGATTAATATTGCTCATAAAACTATAGAAACAAACAACAACAGCAAAGTAAAAAATTTACTGTATACGATAAGCAATAATATTGAGGACTTTAAAACCTAACTATCATAACCTGGTCATTTTTATTGTGCAACAAACGAGTGTACCAACTCATAAACAAGAACAATATAAAAAATTGTATTAGATAAATAATCCAATTATTCTGCATTTTATATTAGTGTCTTTTTTACTTTGTGCTCTCCATAAACATGGAAAAGTTGGCAACAATGGCTCCTAACAAAAATAGCATTAAAACAATACTGAAATAAAATAATGGAAAAACAATTACTTGTACTCGTAATTAAATTCATATTACCCAGCAAGAAAAAGGAATTTATAGAAATTACCATCTGCCGTTAACAGAAAATATTAAGGGAGCACTTCAATTAGCAAATTGATGGCCCACTAATGCCAAATGTCTGCTTATTTATTTGCCATTTGACATCAAAATAATTAATTATCGTCGCGGTTTTCTATGTGCTTAGCCTTGAAACACCTACAAGTGATTTCCTGCGGTTAATATTATGAAGTGCTTCTATGACCACATTTTCAATTTATTACATTTCCAATAGTAATTTCCTGAGCAGCACTTTGACTTGTATAAAAATCTTCTGTCACCCAAAAATAATAGCCGAGCACTTAACTTGGCCCATTGAAGAAGGCCTACTAATGCCGAGTCTGTAATTTATTTTTGGCACTTGAAGCCGGCATAATTAATCACCTCCTCGGAGGCGCAGACAAGAAGGGCCGTCTTAATGGACCCAACTCAAGTCCCCTGTCGAACTGGGGACGTCCCCCAATAACTTTTAGTCCCTGCGGCAACAGAGAGAAATATGAATAAATCGCTTTCCATAAGCGGCTTGAGTGAGGCAATCAATAATGTATATCCCCCCTTTTTGCACTCGATATTGCACGTAGAATGTCCTACTTGCACTTGGCGGCGATCTCCTTTTTGCTGATGACGATTTTCGTGTTCTGCAGGAATTCCATTAAATGCGGCGGCAGATCCTTAAAGCACTCGTCCACCATTTTTTGCGTACTGCCGCACTCCTTGTCCACCGACACCGCCGATGATGATTGTGTGGTATTCCCTTCTTCCTGGGCCAGGATCATAGCGACCGAACCGAGCAAGGCGAGAAAGTAAATTAAAATCACACTGCACAGTGAGCTTCTCACGCACATCCTCGCAGGACACTTGTTGCCACAATTCTACCGATGAAATATTAATTGACCAGTTTCTCCGGTTTGCTGGCTAAACCAACCGCACGAACGCTACCAACGCACTGAAACGGCCAACCGCAGGCAGCTTCTTTAAAAAGGACTTTTAAGTCAGGACCTCTGTTAACTGGCTGTTATATTTAGCGCATGCGCCCTCCTCATATCAGCACGTGCTTCGTCCTTTGTTTACAATACACAGATAAACGACTTTCTAAGAGGTAGTCTGTCCCACTGCCAGGAGGTGGAATGGCATAAATTAGCGTCCACTTCAGCGAGGCCAGGTGTGGATGGAACCGTTGGGTCCGCTTCAGGATGAGTTTAAGTGATTGATTGTCCTCAATCATTGCCGACAAACCCTTCCAGCCAACCGGCACTGGTTTCAAGTTAATTAAGTCACCTGTACACAGTTCTCCTCTGGGTACAGTATTTCACAATTGAAAAACGAAATACCTTTGCTAGGTTTCTTGTTGTTTGGACTTTTGCTTGCCCACTCTTGAAACCCGACACTTTTTCATTGGCCACCGAACCTTCCTAACAATTTGTTATACAATTAGAGTTCATATCCATTTTACGCTTGGGGTTTTTTGGCCAGCTTTTTCATTTCTCTTTATTGAAAGATATAGTTTTTCACAAAGCGGAATCTGTCTATACAACGATTTAAATTATGGACAACATATATTTTAAGTGCATTACTTTACATAGCTCTAAGCTCCTTCAAATTTTAATAACTATTTTTTTATACAGCAAACAACCCGACCAAAATCTTTTAAACAGAACACAATTAATGCGTATGCAGTCATATCGATTGACGATTCTTAATAAAATCACGTTCTGAATGCAAAAAGGACACAGCTTTCAGCATCAGAATGACATTACATCCCATTTAAGCCCAATAAAAACAAACAACCGGAATTTTCCGAGACTGCGCTTTATGACAGAACACTTTTTGTAGACTTTATTACATTTAAAGTGGACTATTAATGTTGTTTATTTTCTCAAAAGAATTCTGACTAAATAAAAATTCCCTCCTTTTCCAAATAAAGTTGAGAAGTGCAAATATTTTTTTAGAAACATTTATTTATGCAAAAAGTTATACATAATCGTACATACATACACTTGTACATATGTAATTAATTACATGTGCGTAGTTGATATATTATAAGGTTTTGAACATATGGATTATCTCACAACTTATTAATGATTTCCTCCTCGAAAGTATGAAGTTTTAAATGATAATGCTGGCGATGTATGAATAATGTTTCGGGTGCGGTGTTAGGGGCACAGCATTCGATTAAAGTAATGAGCGTAAAACTAAATGATTTAAAAAGTTTGTTTTCTTTCTGTAACACAATCTTCGATAGGATTTCATGTCCTTCATGTTAAAATCAATTCTGAACTCATCATAAGCAAGGTTTGCTACGATTGCACGATTGCCGTTGTTATCAATAAAAATTATACATTATGCGTATTAATATTATAAGGTTAGTCAACTGCCATTTGGTTGAACTTCGTTTTGTTTCTGAGTATAAGTCTCACATTTTGCAGAATAATTTCAACAGGTTTTCTGTATACTTTTTTTATTTATTTTATTTTTAAACATTATTTTGATTGGTGCCAATTATACACTTTGTTTAAGGCACATATTTATAACATTTCCTTTTCCCAACAAAAATCAATGAAAATTCTTTAATTTAAAATAAAGTTTGCAACAACTTTACATTGGGTGCAGCGGTTGCTTTGTACCATAAATTAAATGCAATTTACTTTCGCTTTCTATTTTTGTTCTTTGCTAATCTTTCTGCATTTTTATTTTGGGAATTTCATTTAGAATTAAAAAAAATAGATACATATTCAGTTAGGGGTTTGAACAATGCGCGGATCCCATTATAGGCCACGTGATATTTATTTTAAATTAAAGAATTATTTTTGTTGTGGCCATTGCTTTTAGAATTATTTAGTTAAAAGAAGTAATTTTTTCTTTTTATTTCTGCATATAATACATTAGCTTTAAAATATTTAAAATAATTTAAGTTTAGCGTTAAATTATACATTATGAATGCTTGATGCTATCATCATATTATGTTTGTTTCATTAACTAAATATGGCTGTTAAATGTGTTTAATATGATATTGTTGTTTCCTGTTTCGACCCCACTTACTTTTCACACAATCAATTCGAAGTGGGGTGCAAAATCTATACAGAAAATATAGATGTAGTATAACATAATCAAAAAATACTTCATTAACAAGAATTTGCGTCAGTTTAACAAAAATAGATTGTGCCTAATCGACGGCTGAAAAATCTGTATCCGACATAATAGTGATTTGAACTAAATATAATTCTCGCCCAATCCTTTAAAGGGTTACAATGAAAATAGGAGAAACGGCTAACGTTTACGTTTAACTAGTGAAAGATTCATTTTTGCGATTTGAGTTTAAAAGCAGATGTATACAAAAATTAAAACAGTTTTGTTGGTTGAGTAGAGTTTCTTGGATGAGATTCCGTTAACATGATTTTCCTTAGTTTCGTTAAGGGGTTTTGGGGTAATTATATACAGACTTGTATATGCATTTTATATTAATATATATATGTTTGCATTAAGTATGTTTTTGTTCGTTGAACTTTTACACTAAAAACTAACTTTTTCCATTAGATTATTTTAATTAAACTAAGTTCTATGTTTGATTCTCTTATCAATTGTTTGCTTAATAGCTTTGCCTTGTTGCTGGCAAAACGTAACAGTTTAATGGCCACAAGATTCAATACATACTGATGTTGCTGCTGTTCTTTTGCTGTCGCTGTTGCTCCTGTGCTACAGCTTGTTGCAAGTGTTGCATGTGCTTCATCTGCTGCTCGTGTGGCAAAAGGGCTCAGAGTTCAGGGTTCAGTGTTTTGCTAGTTGTGTCGGTGACATGTGGTGGCTCTGTTTTCTGATTTCTGGCATTTGGTTATGGTGATTTTGTTTTTTGTTAGCTTCAGATATGCACATACACAACACGCTCTTGGCTCTGCGTTTGGCCTGGCTGGGATGCTGCTGCTGCTCTGACTCCGTGCTCATCTACGGCAGGCGATGGGATTCATGGTTTCATGGCGGATGTAGGAGCGGAATTGGTAGTGTGTTTAGGATGTTGGTTTGGATTCCATTGGATTTTTTCATTGGAATATTAATATATTTTTTAATAAAACGTTTGTGAGTATGTCGAATATATTGGTTTGTTTTAGTTAGCATGTAAAGAGAGAGATTCATAGAATTGGAAATAGAGTTTGGATTAATATATTTAATGGTTAGCAGTTAGTTATTCATGTAGTTATCCTATGTTAAGCGAGTTATGAGCGCAAAAAGTTACCACGCATTTAATTAGCGTTTACATGATCAGTGGGGCTCACAAAAACATGCTTAATTAGAATAAGAATTTAATAAGTCTGAAAGCGTTTAGTAACTTTTTGCTGAATGCTAACCGCCATCAATGAGAATAATTAATCTTATGATGTGGTCAACATTTTTGACTTTAATAAAGACAAACACATACATTATTATCATTAGAGTTTCATCGACAGGATATTAAAGTAATTTAAATAGAAATTGTAGATAGTGCAAATATTTTTGGTGTTGTTGAAACGTTATTTGATGCGACATTTTATGGTTATTTAAGTTTTGTTCTCCATTTCAAATTTACAAGAACATGATGGTATTTTCCTCATCAGATTAATACTTTTTACTAGTTTTCATTTGTTTGTTTTTTGGTTAACTTGGCCTTTTGTTAGTTATAATTAGCAATAGTATTACATCACATTTTTGGTTTTTGTTTGCTATAAAATAAATGTTTATACCGTTTAATGGGTTTAATATGCTATTTATAAATTTACCACGTAATAATTGGGAAAAAATAAAGAAAACAAAAAGATTACATAAAATTGCAGGTGCATAAGCTTTTAAGACAGGTAGGGATTTTATTACACTTTTATGTTTTTACATACGTCAAAATAAAAAAATTTTTATGAATTAAGCGTTATTTACATGTTTTATTTGTACATAAATGCTGTCATATCATCATATCACCTATATTTTATTTTTAACATATATTTAAAAATTTGTATAGATTTTGAAATAGCGGAAGTATAATCGAAATGCACACAGATCCTTGAACTTATGCAATCAATTCATTCGAAAATAATTGAAAAATTATTAAAGTTCTGCAAATTTTCTCAGAGACTTATAGAAAATAATTCCTTTCTTTATATTCTTTCATTTTATTAATCATTAAGCAGATGCCAATGCAATTTCATGAGGATTCGAGTTATACAAGTTATATAATTAACTAACTAGTCTAGAAATCAATTAATCATAGACAGAAAATTCCGCAACCCATAAGCTTAAAGATTAAGTGTTGTAAGTACACATAGACACGTGTATCAGATATGCAGATATACGTTTCATAGGATACATAAATTAAAATGCATATGCCATAGCACTTGTGGTGGTATCTTGGTAGTAGTTGGTTGTTTGTTGGTCTGGTTGACGGTTGCGTTGGTGGGATTAATGATCAATCGAGGAGTGGGTGGTAAGCATAGAGTTATGCCCGAAGGACGTGTGTGGGTGAGGGTTTTATGTATAAATGCGGTTGTGTCTGGTATCTATAGTTAAGTTGTCTTAGTCACTAGAGTTGCAAACAAACAAAGTGAAGTGTTTATTAATATTTTTGATCAATGAGTTATGTGTGACGACTGAATACGAGAAATAAATATCTTTATTTATTCGTTAGGGTTAAGTTCGGAAAGCGTTAGATATTGGTTTAAATTCTTTTTTTTTTTTTTAGGAGAATTCTGAAAGAAGTCAAGTTTGTGGAATAATAAAGAATCATAAGACTTGGTAAGGATTTTGTTTTGTTTGTTTTTGTTGTGTTGATTTTTTTAAGGTTTTTTGTTTTCATTTCAACAAAAATCATTGATCTTTATTTCTTTGTGGTACACTTTCGGTTCAATTGCAACATTTACATTCGAACGCATAATACAAAATAATCATATAATCTTAGCAAACTAAACAGGGGACTTAAACCTAGGATACACATGTAAAATTCATATCGCGTAAAGAGCGTTTTTTTCTTTTAAATAAAGTATATGGCTTATCCGAGAGTAATACAAATAAAAATCTACTAAAATTGTTCTTTCTTCTTTTTTTTTTGTATTTTTTTCTACTTTTTTCGAGTGTATGTAAAACATCAAAGGCACAAGTTAACGTGAAAACAAAGGAAAACTAATATAAAAATTTGTGTATAAATATATTCGTATAAAATGATAATAAACTCTTCTTCTCCAGCTATCTGGACTGATAGATTTTGCATGTGTCTGTACTTTTGTTTTATCAAAATTTTGTTTTGCTTGTTGTTTTAAAACTCGCAATCGAAATAGAATGCAAGGGAACCCACGGCTCTTTTGCATTTTATTCCGGTGAAAAGATAACACATAAAGAAAATAATAGTTTGATAAAATAAATAAAGGAGTAGAAACACAACTAACCTGTGGAGGCGGTGCGCTTGACAATTGTTTTCGGAACTCTGATCAGGGCAGAGCGGCCTGGCCTGGCCAACGTTTCCGGCCAGGTTTCATCGGATATACAGTATGGATTGGGGGGAGGAGCGACTTTATGAGCAGCATAGATATCAAAATAAATAGCGCAAAGATAAAATAATTCAACTAAATTGATTGGTTGCCCGGTGAACATAATCTAAGGGCAGGCACACACAATCCTTGGATTTCTGTTGTTCGAGATTTTGTTTGTTTGTTTTTTTTGAAAAATTATAAATAAAAAGTTTTTAAGTTGCGTCTGCTGATATGATGCTTTTTGAAAATGATGCTTTCTGATTTTAGTGATTTGCCTTTCTCGATTTACTGTATTTCAATGAAACCCGCCGGCTTGGCTGGCACTCCGACCGTTGCTCGCTGATAGGGATGTTCGCGGTTAGTCGCCAAACGACGCTGCTGCTTAATGGCGCCTACTAAAATATACGATACGATACATGTAGATATAGGTTTGCATAGGCATATCGGTTATATGTATAAATAGATGTGAACATATTCGCTACAAAATACAACTTAGGTCTAAAAGATATTGCATACATCCTTACATCTACCATATGCTTGCTCAAACTGAAGCTGTGCTGCCTTCGCTGGAAGCCAATTGCCAACTGATGGGGAATTATTGACCTTTTTTCGGTATTCTTTTACTTTGTAACATTTAAATTCTCTGCTTCTTTGGAATGAGTCGTTTATATATGTGCTTGTGTATTCGATTTTGTATCTGATTTTTAGAACTGGCTGCAAAATAAGTGATTTTCAAGCCGCTTAGTCTAAGGTATTCGTCTCCAGTATATTGTTGACTTCTACAAATGAATATTGTGTTCATAAATTGTTCATTAAGCATTTTGTTCTTCCAGCTTGCTGACTAGTTGTGCATTCAATTGATTCTGGATTATGGTTTCTGTTCTGGGACGGCTGCCTTTGAGCCTCGACTAAACTTAGATCTATTGAAATAATTATTTAAGCACCAACTTGATTCAAGGCTCCTTTCTACTACGAGATATATAAATATATTTAAAAAAAGCTTTTCTGCAATTCTGTTCAAAGTACATGGTTTTGACGAGAAATGGCACTGGCTGGAAAAATTGAAACGGTTTTCTTTTCGCTCTTCGTTAGGTACATTTGTGCATAAATACTGTCCCCCCATCGCAACACTCACTACAATAACTACATAAAAAAAACAGATGCTTAACTAAATTGCACTTAAGACACGACCCTCATACCACAAAACTAAAATAGGGTTATTTTTTTTAGAAGAGAAAAGTATAAAGTTTAGCCCTCTTTAATTTGAATACTCATGGGTTCCAAAAAACGAAAACCAACAACTTGCTTTGGCTGCCGCTGTTGTTGTTCTTCTCAACTAGAATATACTCATATAAAAATGTTTCGGGTTGAAAATCATAAAAGTTAAAAGTTAAGATTAAAGCAACTACAAATTAAGGGCCTAAAAATCACTTATTTTTGCCAATATTGCATATTGCAGAAATGTATTCCTTTGCGACCTATCTTCTAATATAAAATATAATAAACAAATTCATTGTCGAGCAATAATTTTCTTGATTGATTGGTTATCTTTTCTTCTTTTTTCTTGAGTATTACTGTTTTCCTGTTTGTTGTGCCGTTTTACTCTTATGTTTTTGTCTCTAGGTATACAGTATATATACAGTCTATACATTTATGTGTGTGTGTATATAATTCTGTTGCAGTTTTTGTGTGACTGTAACTTTATAACTTTAGGCTAAACATTTTCTGTGGGGTTTTCCTCTACAATTCGTTTCTGTTTTTGTTGTTCAAGGGAAAAATAATAGAGAGTGAGAAAGAGAAGTTCAAAAGACGGAGCCGGCATGCATATATCGACCAACTGTAAATATTTATGTTTGTAACAAATATATAAGATAAAATAGACTTTGGGTAAAATAATGAAAGTTTTGTATAATTCTGTTAGCTCTGGTTAGGATATATCATAATAATAGTGAAGTCTTAAAGGAAAGCAAGGTTAAAAAGCGTGAAAAAATCTCATAGCATACTTTATGGCACTGAACGAAAATAATAATTGTGTTAGGTTCGAGTAAAATACAGGAAGAATGGATAATCTGGTTTGTAGAGAAAACTTGTAGGTATTCTTGACCTGGAAAATTATCCAAACTGTCTGATTATATAAAAGCCAATTAAATTGGCACAAATATGCAAGTGAACATTTCAACAAGCAGATCAAGAATATCTACCACTTTGTAACTGCAGAATATCCACATGGCCTGTCATAACAAAAAAATAAATGCAAGCTCCTAATGATTAAATGCGAAATCTAAATCTTTCACATATCAACTATGTGAGTAAACAAGACAATTAACAAAACAAATATTACGACAAAAAAAAATAATAAATATGCCCAAAGAACATTTACAAAAAAGTAAAAAAGAAATAATACTAGATGCTTGAGCTCACTGGCGCTGCCATAGGCTGTCATCGCAAACTCAATCGATTGCACTTGGTTAATGTGTTAAGAGGATAAACAAACCTACCGGGCGTATGCGCAACGTGTAAATTGTATCTCTAGTGTGTGTTAAATGGTGTGTGCTTGTCTAGCGATATGCTATATTATTGCTCGCAATTTAACTCGCAGCTAAACCCTCGATTCATGTAGCTACATATATATATATCTCCCTATACGACTAACTTCTGCCTAGTTTGATGAATGATTCGCTTAGTTTGTGTAGTTTGTGTAAGCATAAATCATAATCGATATAGAGATAGCAAATGGAACAGAGTGATTCAGGGTGAGATATGTGTGTGTGTTATTATCTGGCAAACAACCCACCGCTATGATCAGCATATTCCGTGAGCAGAGGATTGCCGGCGAGGGCGGCGTAGTTCGCATAGTCGTACGGTGCGAAGATCATTCCATGGCCGGTCTGGTCGAAGGCGGCTGTCGGAGCGGCCTGGGCGGACAGTATGCTGGCCGCCGTTGTCGGGACGGTCATCCGGGGATTCAGGATCAATGGGGCGCCCAGCGGGGCGGCGGCTGGGGCGCGGATCTGGGCGGCAAGGCCGGGCAGGCCGGTGGGCGTCAGCAGGCGGCTGTCGGAGGCGGCCATCAGGCGGCGCCAGTCCTCATCGCACACTGCGGGATACAGATAAGAAGCAGAGCCAACGCATGAAAAAGCTGGTCGTCGTACACATAAATCAAATACAAAATAAAGAAATGTAAATCGAATTTAAATCAGTTTGGTTTCGTTAACGGTTCAGTTTGCAAAATCGTTAATGGTTAGCTTCTCGCTCATTCGATTTTAGCTGGTAGTTCTCGTGGTAGTTATATTATCTTTTGTGTTTTTTAGCTATGTTTGAGTGGAGATCTGGTTAGGTTATTTTTAGGTTTTAGATGGATAGTAGGTATAGGGAGGCTTTGGTTGACATACCTGCGACAGATTTCGCTGTTGTGTCCCTATAAGTGCCGTTAATAATCGCCAATTCCATAAGTTGACGTTTCTTTAGCTCATCTTCGCCTTCGGCTTGCTGTTAGTACGAGTGTATGTTTTGTGTTTTTGTTTTTGATTTGTTTGGATTTTGGGTTTAATGTATTAAACGGAATACATTAAAGCAGATTAGGTTTGTTGGTAGAAAGAATGAGAAATAATATAAGAAAATTCATTATTAATTATATTGGTTAACATTCGATTCAGTTTAGCTGAGAAATCATTTAATAATTTATTATTGATTTAACATAGACAAAGGAGGTGGGGAAGGCAACACGCATTTGTTTTTAATTTTTCTGTTTACTTTTTACTCGTTTACTTTAAGCTGTTTCGCGGGCGCATTATGAATTGTATACATTAGGCAAATATCGTTTTACTCTTGGCTTTTCTGAAGGGCTCTCGTTCTTTAAAACCACTTGGCAAACACTTACCGGCACGAGCAGCTTCTGAACTTCGGCAACGGCCTGGGCCAACTTGACAGTGGCACGGTTCTCGGTGTCCTCGACGGTTATCAGGACATGCAGGTCATCGGACAGATGCTCCCAGTTGGGCTTTCCGCGGTTGGCGTCCTCCTGGAAAATGGAAAATATTTAACATGCGAACATAACAAAAAATGTAGGTATTCAAAAAACAATATTACATTTATTTACCATGGCAAGAATTTATAAAACCGTAAAATGTGCAACCCAAAAATAGCATGATTTTATCACTATGGACGGCAGTCCATGTAGTGACGAAGCGCACCAGGAGAGTGTGCGAAGGCGACTACTATATATACACGAAGAAATGAAAATCTACTGTGATGGTCCGATCATAATGAATGATACACCTATCGAAAGGTATTGCAAAAACTAACAGGATTGCATACCAAGACTCTAAGAAAATCAATTGGCTTGGGAGAGAGCGGTGAAAGTAAAAAAGTGAAAATTTCGAAATTTGGAGCTGTTGGGGCCGGTGGGGATAATTGCCCCCTCGCAATATTTTACTTGTATTCCTTTTGAAAATACCCGTCGAATGAGGGGTCGTTTGTCAAAATCCGACGCTCCGTTCAAAAGTTATAGCCAAAATAAGATTTTCTTCGTCTTCCCAAAATGAAAATTTAATTCTGTTTGTCAGTTTGTCAGTTTGTCAGTTTGTCCAAAACATGTTTTTAAGTTTTGAAAATTTTATATGACGTTCATCACATCGATATAAAAAACTTTTGTTCTACCACTTTTGGAAAAACTCGCTAGTTTAGCGGGAAAACAGCTATAAATAGCTAAAAATCGGAAAGCCGTAACTTCTATACTACTAAAGCTACAGACTTGTGCTGCATCTCGTTTGAAAGGTATTTTTAAATGCTATAAACGCCTTCTATATGCAATTTGTGTAAATGTAATAATTAAAAAAATATGAACAAAAGACAATTTTTTAAAACTTTTTTTTAGCTTTTTTTTTTTTTCTCAAAAACGGCTCTAACGATTTTCTTTAAAACCTTAAACTGTATAGCCCTTGAGATTCCTTAAATTTTGGTATATAACACATTACTGTAAAAAGTCACGTTTAAAAGTTATTTTTATACGAAAATAGCCACTTTTGCCAGCTCGAACAATTAACGCTCCTGAGTATTGAATTTTGTGGGAGGGTATCCGAACTGTATTTTAGGGTCATGGAATCAGTAAATTTGCACTTAAGAGTTCCATATAGGAATCTTTTGTTCTACGACTTTTGGAAAAAGCCGCTACTTTAGCGGGAAAAAGCTAAAAATAGCTAAATTTCGTTAGTTTGTAAGTTCTACACTACTAAAGGTACAGACATGTGCTATACCTCGATTAAAAAGGTATTTTGAAATACTTCAACGCCTTTTTAACTTAATTTGTTAAAAATACAATAGTTTAAAAATTATGATTGACCAATTTAAATTTAAATGTATATATTAGCTCCTATGAGAGCAAATGTAAACAAACAAAAACTTCTGATATCAAATAAAAACACCTCTTAACGAGGTAAAAAACTAGTGACGACCGCACCTTCAACATACAAAAGTTCTGATATCAACATTTGTGACGAAAAATTATTACACTCGTCATTAAATAGACTTTCTAATATTTTCTCATTCGACACGCTGCAATAGAAAATGCCTGTGAAGGGAAAAATGCTGGAATAGTTTGCTAGGGCGGGCCGAATGAGAAAATATTAGAAAGTCTATTTAATGACGAGTGTAATAATTTTTCGTCACAAATGTTGATATCAGAACTTTTGTATGTTGAAGGTGCGGTCGTCACTAGTTTTTTACCTCGTTAAGAGGTGTTTTTATTTGATTTGTTATGCTCAATGATTCAATCATTTCACCTCAATTTCGCTGCTCTCAATATATAAACTATTCAAAAATGTGAAAATTAAATCAGAATCTATAAGCAACAGCGCTAATGGGCACAAAACGATTAGGAGTGGGCGTGTTACGCCGCACTAAAAACATTATTGCAATTTTTCATTTCACTGATGTTATTACTTGGGGCAAGAAGAGTTTTGGCGTACGTGCTTGAAATATAATAAATACTTTTGCTCATTCTTCTTTAGCGCACTTGGTGACCCACAATTTATAATCAATTAGGATCAAATTGGATAGAAATTCTTTTGAAGAAGTCCAGTGCTAATTCCACGTCAAATTAACAACTGTCAAGTTGGCTGCCGTATAAATGCCGGCAAAAGTTTTATCAGGAATCGAGGACAACCTTCGGATGAGTGGCCGAGCAAAAGAAATAAAGAGAACCTGAGCAAATCTAGAAAAGGGGGGTCTCACCTCACAAAAACCATGCACTATGACTAATTTATTCATCGGTTGTCGGTTCTATTTCTATCTACAAAGTGCAAGTAAACAGAACATTTCTATTCTTTCGGTTTTCACTTGTGTCACCGACCAAAATCTTTCGGTTCGCGATGAATCAGACATTTGTGTGGGAGTCCTCTCATTCGTTTCTACTAAATTATCAAAATATTGCAACAAAATCTTCGCAATCTTAAAAACTCTCCTGTCTGACTGTCTGCCTTTCTGTATGCCTGCCGCTCATTTGGCCCGCCACATTTATGAATTACAAAAATACTTTTAATCGTCTCGAGACACTCGTTTCATTTTTCTTTCTTTCCTTAGTATTTAACATGTTTTTTTTTCGTCAGGGGAAATTAAATCATCAGAGAATTTTGAGTGACAAGATACGCATATAAGTATGGGTAGGTATAAGAAAATAAGTGAGAGCATTTTTCAGACGATAAATTTGACTGTGAGGTACTCTTTAAGATTATTATATTTACCCATTTAAAAAAATTTAATAATTGGTTTATTATTATTTGGTCATTCAAAAAACTTTCTAAAACATAATAAATAATAATTTATTTTGTTTCTAATAGTTTTAAAAATACAATAACGCTATTGCCTGATTTTAAATTAATTTAAAAATTCTGAAATTAAGCCGCATGGCACTCTTAGCCAGAAATAAAAACCCAAAGGCACAAAGAGAGGGCCATATTTTTCGCCTTATAATTAAGAATAATTCCCATTTGGCACGGAAACCGACTGTCAACTGAATTTTCATATCCAAGCGTACCAAACTCGCGAGCACTATTTACGATAATTAAAATTGAAATTGAAGTGCTCGGCTAATGGCTGAAAATCTTTGGAATGTGCACAGAAATTTGCGTTCCGCTTGGGCTCGTTTCCTGTCCAACTATTTGGAATTTTAAATTCGGAATTTCGATGCACTCACCTTCTTCTTGTCGCGCATGGAGCCCTTGCCGCGGACCATGATCTTGCAGCCGGTCTCCTGCTCCAATTGCTTGGCGGTCATGCCACGGGGTCCCAAAATGCGACCGACAAAGTTGAACTGAAATGGAAATGAAAATGAAATTGTAGGGGAGATATAAATTAGACGGTCGAAATTAGAGGAAATCATTAGCGAATCAACATACGATCTAATTAACTGGCTAACTTGGTCTAAAGTTCAAAGTTTTGTGGCAAATTTAAAACGCATTAGATCGGCTCGTGACTCAGGATGCATAAATGCCAGGCCAGATCCGTCGTTGTTGTTCAAAGTCGAAGTTATTAAAGCGTATGACGCTGGTCAGATTCGGTTCGTTGAAGGCTGGAGTCACCCACAACCCACAATCCGAACTTCAAAATCCCCAGCATTTGGGCACAACAATGGGCGAACGTAATATGACCCGCGGCGACACGCCTGAATTTGGCACGATAAACCAATCAGCCAGATAGACACACAAACTCTTTGTGCATATAGCCAAATGCAGTCACTCAGTTAGCAAGTCAGTGAGTGCCACTCGAAAAAATAAATATTAAGAAGTTTAAAAGAAACTATTTAGATTCTCCTAAAGAGTATAACCTTCGACTAAAACCATTTTTGTACTAAAGAACAAATATTTTTAAAATGTAAATAAAATTAATCACCGCAAAATACATTTCTCGCTGTGTAGCAGTCGGCGACATTCAAAAGAATTTTGCTTAAACTATTAGCGGAGCGTGCAAAAATCTTTTGACGCGCTTGTCGATGATGATGGACGTCTATGGCATGTTGGCCAACAACGTTTCCAAGCCCAAATCAGCGATGAGGTGACCCCAACCAACCAACTGTAAGCTGCCGTGGCGCCCAATTATCATATACTTTGCCAAGATTGCAACAACCACTTGGCCCGCAGGCAGGCCGATAAATTAGATTTATTGGCTAGATCACAACCATTTCCATCTGAGTTATTGTAAATTGCGGGCTAAACTAGTTCTGGTCTCGGGGCCCCGGGGTTCGGCACAAACCCACCCACCCACATTCGTCTGGAGACCCATTCCGAGTGCGATGATGTGATGGGATGTGAGATATGGGGATGTTAAGTGCACAGCGATGCGATCATCGACAGCAGACAGCCGGCGGCAGCAGTTAGCCAAAGCCAAAGTAGCAGCAGCAGCAGCAGCTGTTGTCAGTCAGTCAGTCCGAATGTATCTGTATCTGAGAGCCTGCATCTGCAACTGAAACTGAAACTGCAACTGCCACTGCTGAGATCGAATCAATTGAAAATTGCCGCGAAGAATGCAGTTAATGCCTAATGGCTCCGGCAATTTTAATTAAATTTTGCGAAAAACCATTTAACCTCCATTGAAGTCCACACAGAAAATGTGGCCAACCTATGGCGAGAAAGTTGCTTTAGCCAAATAAAACGAACGCTTCCACATACATATGTAGGTCCGCAGAAAATTATAATAACGCAGTCCAAGACAATATTTGCATTGGATATCGGCCCCGTATCAGTTGCTTAATTAAAAATCCCTGGCTCAACGCAATGTTTGCACAAGTGATCTCTTCCATTTGCCATTAAACGGAAATTAAAACCCATTTCTCCCCCCTTTGTGTGTTGCACTTAACGGATTCCACATACGACGCGTTGCCCGGCCACTTGCGTTCTACAAATATTGTGGAATGCCAAACAAATACGAGTGGCCAAATAAATTATAAATGAATGTGCTTTAAGGGTTTCCCTTTTGCCTCTTGTGTTTTTTCAGTGCTTCTGCGGGGGAGTTCGAACAGAGAGGAGTTTTCCATAAAGAAAACTCATAAGAGAGGCAATAAAGATTAAAAATCCAGCATTGGAAATGAATGGATCAAGTAGTGTACTTCAAAGAATAATCCTTTTCTTGATTATAAATTAATTATAAATGTTTTTATTAACAATAAATACTAACACTAATGTCACGGCAATTATGAAGCTGAACAATTTTAATAAATCTAAAACTCTGAATACAAAATAAGCATAAAAAGGCCAGACAATAATTTATACTTATAATTCCCTTGCAAATGCACAATTCAAACGGTAGACCCATGAGTATTTTTAGAATTCTCGGTAGCATAATATGGAACCCTTTTCCTCTCCATTGTCTGATTTTTCCTGCTGTTCGACAATTACGCGACCTCAAGTGGCACGCGTGCTTTTCCAGACGTCACGCATAAGGTGTACACAGAAAAAATTAAGAGTATTTTTTAAGATTTAAAAATTGTTCAAAAAAAGATTTTTTTAAAAAAATATTTTTTTTTTTTTCATAATCTCAACAATAACCAATATTTTTTTCTCCGTCAATGTAAACTCTTAGGAACTTTGGGTCTCCAATAATATTGTATTGACCTTTTCCCCGCGTACTTGAGCCAAAAGTGCTGTAGTAAACAGACAAAAGGCAGATGACAACGGGAGCTGCAAGGCAAGTCAAGTGGAGTGTAGCCAAGTGAAGCGTACAAATAAATGTTGTATAGTGTACACATACATATAGGTATATGTAGGTACCGGGGGAAGTGCGCTTTTATGAGAGCGGAGGCTGCTGCTGCTTTATTTTACAGATTGTGAGCTCAGATAGGGCGTAAGGAAAATATTTTATATTTATACAATACGTACAGCAATTTTCAATACGGCAGAAGGTACAAACAATTGATAAGCGAACTGCGACGCACATACAAAGGGCACCGAAATGACTGAAAAGGAAAGTACAAACAAACAAACAAACAAACACACGAGAAGCTGTGATAAGAAACCCCAACCCAACAGGTGACCATGACAACAGACCATCCAATTGTGCGCAAAACTTTTCATACGAAAACCACACACAAAGAGAATATTTGGAATTTTTCATTAGGATCTGAGGAGATTGAGTAGAAGAACATTATACTTTATAGTGTTCAGATTTTAATCGCGTTGCCCGTGTGACTCAGTGGGTTTTAAGAATCTTTTCATTTGAGCCGCCCGCGAGTGAATTGGAAACAGAAATGCATAGGCAACGAAGGCTGGGGTCGGCATAGATCAAATAGATTAGCCAGCCAGAGCTACGCTACTACTATGCATATAGAGTACATATAAGGCGTGTAGGTATGCATCTACAGAGAGATACACTTTAGCACACATAATTACGCTACACAAAAAGCTCGTCTATTACACGGAAAAATAAATCAAACTTTGACATGACAAACAACAGCAGCAAATTTAACTTGAAAATAATGCTTGCCACAATTTGTTGTCGTTTTTATATGATTTTGTTGTTTTCTTTTTGTTGTTCCGTCACTCGGGGCTGTACCTATTAAATTACCGAACAACCGAAAATGTACATAAAAATTGCACGTAATTAGCATTTCAATGTTTATGACTAATTTGCTGCAGTTTGTAGATTAATTGGCTTTTGTGTTAACGGCTTAGACAATAAACAACACAGCACACCAGCGAACATAAGGTGATTTGGGCAGACATCAACACAATGTCTGAGTCTGAGATGGGCTGCCGTTCGAATATAATTTGGCTTAAATATGACCGCGATTTCTCAGTTGATCGATAAGTCTAATAGCCGAATGACCTTAACACCAATCGAATGTCAAATGGTTCACAGATGTGGGATGTAAATAGCCTGTGTGGGGGTGTGACCGCAACATTAATCAGCGGAAGGGGATTTCACTCATTTCAATGGGATCGATTAACAATTGATTAATTAATTTCCAAACAGATCGCTTGGGTGTTCGTGCCTACAGGTAATTTTAAACATAATTACCTGAAGTTAAAAGTGTTTTTACATTTTAATTGATCCATTGGATTCGCAATATTTATTTCATCACAATGAAGAGGAAAATTTACCTTCTATCGAATCCTATACACTCACTATTTTTCCATAAAACCTCGATGTCTCACCGTAAAGTTATTTCCCCCCCCCAATCCCATCTAATTGTACCTCTTCCATATGTTTAAATTTAAGCATCGGAAAATGAGTTTGCGAAAATATAGAAAAAATGTCAAACATAATTTGAGTTCTGTACGAAGCGAAATCACTCAGAAGCTGACCAGGCTCAGTGGGTCAACATGTCGCATGTCGCATGACGCGCCACGGGGCGTATGAGCAATGAGCGCTGACAGCGGACAACGGAGAGAACGAGACGGATGTCTGGGGATGTGGATGGAAAAAGGCGGACCACCGATGCTCGCCCATAGAAAACGTGGAGCGTTAATAGTTGGCTGTAATTAATTGTAAACTGTTTTAATGCCCCGGCTGTTTGCTGGGGACTTTAATTAAGTTGCATTTATGTTTTGGACACGTCCAGAGAAACAAGATTCAGCCGATACATAGAAAAACATATATCTTCGCTGGCATCTCTTCTGCATTTGGAGGCAGGTTGACAAATTGTTGACCATTTACATGGCGTATTGTTGTAGTCGGCCTGTCGGCCAGCTGACAAATCTGTATTTACATTGTTGAATGCGTTATAAATTATTAACTGCTATTATTTGCGACTGGCGGTGTCTGCGCTAATGCCATGAAATTTATGCCCCATGACGGGGCGCGCACAAACAAACCGACAAACCAATAAACATTCTGCCCCGAACTTGTTGCACTTCCATGCTATTCAAAGCGCCATTTGTCTTGCTTAAACACATTTTCGAAATTCGACTGGCGACCATAGGAAAATTCCGACATTTTCCTATGCGAATTTTTAGTTATTGCAGGCTGTTGCCTCCCGAAATGATTGCAATTAAATATGATGATTTATGAGAAAGCAGCGCTCAAAACGCCCGCACAAAACACCCGACATCTGAGGGGCCTCACAAAAATAAGACAGATCGGAACACCTGAAATATTGGAAAATCAAGCGGAAAAATCTAAGGCCCTCTGGCCGTAAATCTTCGCTAGAGATCTGTGCCAGGTTTCGTTTGGAAAACAGAAATCGGAAAACATTGAAAACACATGAAACAACATCATCAAAAGTTGTCTCACTCTCGGCATCCTCCTCATTTCTCTAAATTATGTATGTTCTTTTTAATTTACGACCTTAACTCATTTATATTCATTTCATTTGGGTCTAGCCCTAATAAAGTCCAATTTTATGTTAATGTTGGATTGTCTACTTTTGGGTTATCTTTTCGCTCGGCTTTACTCTCGTGTGAGTTAGAATATCAGCTTTATGCAACGGCCGGCGATAATTAATTGAATGGCAGATGTGAGAAATGTTTCACTTTGGTTTCATTAGTTTTTACGATGGTGAGGAAAGGCAAAAGGTTCTATAACCTTTGTAAGTGCTGCTGACTTGGCAAATTAATTTTTTTTCTGACCAGCAGCATTGGATACACATTAATTTTTGTGGAAAAAAGGTTCCTACTCAGAATTACTATTATTAATAAACATTATAGTTATTAAAGTCTGAAGTATTTTCATGTAGACCTAATCTTTGCCATTTTTTGTGTTACAATTCCGGAGTACTAAAATCGATTTAAAAATCGTTTAAGTCCACATCACTTGATTGGGTCATCGCCCCACCCAATCGCCCTGAACTGGCGCCATTTGGCAAAGAAAATTATTTAAACAGCTGCCGAACAGAAGCCACATCAGTAGAGACACCATTGAACGGAGTGCGATCTGAAATGCTTTCGAGTCTAATTAATGCTATTTAAATTTATGCATTTATCTGGATCACAAGCAAAAAGGAGAAAATAAAAAGCCAAGGGAAATAAACGAAACGAAGCAAAAAAACATAAACATCAAGAGCAAAGTGTGTCATGCAGTAAAATAAATTTCCTCAGTTCCGCCACTGCGACTGCTGTCAGGCCATAAATAAATAAAAAACGAAACTACGCCCAAACAATTTCCAAATTAACAAAACTAAAGAAAAACAAAAGAAATATACATGTCTGAAGGCGGGGAGAACGGAGAAGAGGAGGGAAACATTTTAAATTGCATAAAATTAAATCAAATTCTAATGTGGCAGGGCTTGGCCGGAGTGACTTGCTCCGACGCCTACAATGAGCGACAAATGAAACGAATGAACGCCGTCAAACGACTTCCTAAAACGCTTCAATGATTTTGTCTAACCCATTTTTGTACGCGTATATATCTGCAGCTCGATCTGTATCTGAATCGGCTCAGGCTTTATAGGGAGAAGTGGAAGGGTGCAATCGGAGCTTTGCATTTGGCATCTTGTTTGTGGGCCTGTCTTTGCCGCCAAGACAACTTAACAGATGACTGACTCTATCGGCGGCGGAGAAGATACACCTCGGCACATTCATAGCCGCTGGCACACCTTTAAGCCATTTCCGGTGTAGCCCAGTTGCTCACTGAGCGCGTTGTCAATTCTAATTGACGGAAGTCGTGTGCTCTCCGCGAATCCATAAATTAGATCATCGTTATTCGTTATCGTCATTATGCTAGGACCACTTACATCTGGATGTTCGCGCACTGGCACATAGACCTTCTCGTTCATCGTCACCACCGAGCCCTCGGGTTCGGGCAGAGTCAGGGGCTCCTTCTTGACCCCATTGATCTGGAACAGTGAGGCGCGCACGCGTGCAATTTCTGAAAAAGATTAAAGAGATTTAAGATTAAAATGGGGAATTATAGTTAAGAACGCAAGTTATTGGAAAACGAGTCTTTAAGTTTTAGCAATTTATAATAAGTTATATTTTTTTTTAATAAGTTATATTTTATAAGTTATATTTTTCAATTTTTTAATATAATAACTATCAGTTTTTTACTGTTCTTTAACACTTTGAATTTACATAATACATCTTCTTTCAATTTAAAACTGTTCCACAAATTCCAAATAAATATATGCTTAGTTTCTAATCATTATGAAATCTACTTCTACGACTGCCTCTATTTATTTCCGAGCGCAATAAATACACAGACGAAAGGCAAACAAACAAAGCGTTGATAATTTTAATTGCAGGCTCTTTGCCTCCACTTCAACCGAGTGCGGCTCAATTTGTCATTTTAGCTAAGTGCTTGTATTAAATTACGTTTAATTTGCCTCTGGGTGGAAAAGCTACTAAATTAGCATCAATAAAACGGCGTCTGAATGTGTTTACCCAGCCATCGACTGCAGTTCTAACTTATTTATTAGGTTAAACCTAAGCTAAGCCATGAAATCACTTGGTTTATATTTAAACAAATTATGCCATAATTTGCCAAGCATCATCGTAACTATGAACAATACTTAGCCACCCCCGACCCTTAAATCTGAGGTCATATGTGCCACGCCCCCTCCTCCTTCCACCTTCCTGTAGAGCCCCCTGCAATTCACACTTCTGGTGATTTTCAGTGGCGGGGGTGGGGCTTTTCAACCCCCAACTGTGTCAGTTGACAGGGGCTCTCGAATTGATATGATCAACATTTTGTGTTCTCCTCCTGCTGCTGCTGGTGTTGTTTAGTTTTGCATAAGCTCAATTGCATTGTTTGTCTTTGGCATGTGCTTTGACAATTTGTCACTAAAAGTGGGTAATTGTGCTGGGTGTGTTGGCCCCAAAGGGCGTGAGGGGAGAGGAGCGGGGGGAAAGGTGACTGCATCATATGTCACAGAAATGATTTAAGAATCTGCCACTAAATGACATCAAATTAAATGCCTGACTTCTCTCACTAAATGTCAACATTTTGACATACGGTTATCTGATTTCTTTGACAGTGTATGTGATTGTTGACAACAGAAATCCTTTAAATAAATTGTATTATTATTTGAGCAACTATTTCAACACCTGAAATAATTCAAAGAATATTCTATAATAAAACAATTTAAAGAGATATTTTTCTAAACAAATTTCTTATATGTTTTGATTATAAATGTCCCTGTACAAGTTTCTTGACCTGTTGAATGCAGAATAAGCACTCTGAAGAACATCTTGTTTGGCATTTAAATTAATTATATTTGATATTTTTATCTAGCCAGCTACTGGCTTATATTCTTATTTATTTTCCCCGCTTTCGCTGTGTGCCACATAAATAAAATTTCAAATAAAAAAATCTGAGCAGCCAGAGTCGAACAAAGAAGACGAAAAGAAATTGCACAAAATTTAAATTTACTTTTTCCGAGCGGTGCGAAAAAGAAACGACGGTCTATTCCAGAGTTCATTGCGGGCCAAAGAACCCATAAAGAAAATGCCAAAAGAGCCGGAATGAAGAGGAGGAGGATGAATCTGAGGAACCGGCAGAGCAGAGTCGCTCTAAACACTTGACTCGATGATTATTGATAGAGATGGGGAAGAGATTTTCCCCTCGACCACAATTAAGAGCAGCTCTCCAGAAAGACTTTTCATTTGCTTGACCACTTTTCGTGTAATTTACTGCGACACGCAAGTAGAGCATTCCATCGGTGGCATCATCATCATCATTATTATCATCGTCATCGTTTCGGTGATTCTAAGCCCATGAGCCATTGGCATAAACGCAATCATGACAGCTGTCAATTTTAATCGAGCGAGTGTCAATCCGCATCCACATCTATTCAATCTGCAACGTGACCGATGTGTGGCAGTGGCACGAAGATTGTGCAGCCAGATTAGATGAATAAGCCGGGCCAAATTGGTGTAAAATTGCATTTGCATACGAGCGAACCGATGACGGAGTCACTGATTCACTTCTGGGGCCAAGTCAAATAGATAGATGGCTGGATTGATAGCGGCATTTAGATAAATTACAATAATCAAGTCACTGCCATATGCGCAGGCGGCTTAATTAATAGCAGCTTAGTCAGAGCCTCGGCCTGGAGTCTATAATTAAAGCCCTGGCTCAAGATCACCTGTTGCCAACTGACCATTTTAGGGCATAACTCGGCGGAACCGGGCAAATACATTCAAATATACATGGTATAGTGGGCGGGGAGAACGAGAGCAGTGCCAATCTAATAATTATCAATGAAAGATCTTTTTATTCATTAACAAGTCTTGAGTCGTTTGTGCTTTTAAGGCAATCTCCGCATCTTTTTCGCAACGCGACTCATAATTTACATAGACCGCGCGCGCTTATGACTCTATATCTCTTTTAGCCAACTCGCTGGACCTCTATATATGGCCAGGGACGGAGCTACCAAATTTGGCACCCCAAGTAGAGAAAAAAAACACTGCTGATTTGCGTGTGTGTTCAAGTATTATTATCATTTTGTATAATTTTTTCTGCGCTCTTTTTATAGCCAGCCCCCACAATAGCACTTATGGCGAACCTTAACTATGGAGTGTTATTAGTCAAGCGACTAAGAATAAAAATGGGTAAAGCTCAAGGTTGGATAAGGCGTGGTGGTGGGTAAGAAGGATGGGGACCTGTTTAATTTCAGCGTGACATCATCAGCATTGAATCGACCACAAATCTAGAGATTCCTCAGCGATTTCGCCCTTCTAGAATAGGTGGGCGAACATAACACATAACATTTCCCGCCTTGCTTGGATGGCGCATTTTGCAACATTTGAATTTTAAATTTAGCCTCCTGCACTTGATGATGAACAAGAAACAAGCAACAAGAAACACGAACAGACAAATGCGAAAGCGACTGAGAACGATAACCAGTCGAGCGTCAATAAATTGTCAAATTTTATGCACCACGATTTTTTGGCAAGGGTTCTTTATGTCCGCGAGCAAGTAGGGCATAAAATGTGTACATAGTACCGGGAATATTAATGTGGAATCAGATTATTATACATGTATATATTATATATTGAGATATATGTATGGAACATTTTTAAACGGTCTTAAAGAACCTTCGTAAAAATACTCTCAACGGACACAAATTCGATATAAAAAATAAAATTAATTATTCTCAGTAAAATAAGCATATCTCGACACCCTTGATCGGTTCTCCATTAGCGAAAACCTCGTTCGCACCAAATACACCAAGAGGATATAACTTATCGAATCCTAAACTTGTCAATCTAATAAGATATGCCAGACAGATGGCGCAGACACCTCTAAGCCAAATTAAAACCGAGCTCAGCTCAGCAGCTTAGCGGCGCTGATTGATTGTTTTAAGCTGGGAGAACAATTTGCATTGGATCACGACTTCAGGTGGGAAATGGTAAGGCAGGGGTATATATACTACATTTATTTATACACAATGTATTGGGTGAGTGCGACACATATCTAAGTATCTGGCGGCTAATTTATGAATGCAAAACCATTCATACCACACGAATTAGATGACTGCCAGCTGATGAGCGTGTGGGCGTTTCGTAGCCAAGAAAACAATGTCAACTGCGATCGTTTGGGTTTCTGTCTCGGCCTCCGTCGTTTTGTCCGTCAGTCTTGTCCGTCCGCCCGTTTGTCTTGTCCGTGTGGGCTGGGAGTCTTAACAAATTGTCACCAGAAATGGCCGGAACGCTCGAAAACGTTTAAGGTTCAGCTGCAATTAAGCCAGATCCCGCATATTTGGCAAGCGCCAAAATGTATTTGATTTTATGGTTTTTATTTGCTTTTCGTCATGAACTCCATTGGCCTTGGGCGCATTTGCAATTTCGCATTGTACTCGCATTTAAGCAAAGCAGAAAAAAAAATGTTTATTGTGCGTTCAAGTAATTTCATAAATAAAATTTCAAATAAAAAAATCTGAGCAGCCAGAGTCGAACAAAGAAGACGAAAAGAAATTGCACAAAATTTAAATTTACTTTTTCCGAGCGGTGCGAAAAAGAAACGACGGTCTATTCCAGAGTTCATTGCGGGCCAAAGAACCCATAAAGAAAATGCCAAAAGAGCCGGAATGAAGAGGAGGAGGATGAATCTGAGGAACCGGCAGAGCAGAGTCGCTCTAAACACTTGACTCGATGATTATTGATAGAGATGGGGAAGAGATTTTCCCCTCGACCACAATTAAGAGCAGCTCTCCAGAAAGACTTTTCATTTGCTTGACCACTTTTCGTGTAATTTACTGCGACACGCAAGTAGAGCATTCCATCGGTGGCATCATCATCATCATTATTATCATCGTCATCGTTTCGGTGATTCTAAGCCCATGAGCCATTGGCATAAACGCAATCATGACAGCTGTCAATTTTAATCGAGCGAGTGTCAATCCGCATCCACATCTATTCAATCTGCAACGTGACCGATGTGTGGCAGTGGCACGAAGATTGTGCAGCCAGATTAGATGAATAAGCCGGGCCAAATTGGTGTAAAATTGCATTTGCATACGAGCGAACCGATGACGGAGTCACTGATTCACTTCTGGGGCCAAGTCAAATAGATAGATGGCTGGATTGATAGCGGCATTTAGATAAATTACAATAATCAAGTCACTGCCATATGCGCAGGCGGCTTAATTAATAGCAGCTTAGTCAGAGCCTCGGCCTGGAGTCTATAATTAAAGCCCTGGCTCAAGATCACCTGTTGCCAACTGACCATTTTAGGGCATAACTCGGCGGAACCGGGCAAATACATTCAAATATACATGGTATAGTGGGCGGGGAGAACGAGAGCAGTGCCAATCTAATAATTATCAATGAAAGATCTTTTTATTCATTAACAAGTCTTGAGTCGTTTGTGCTTTTAAGGCAATCTCCGCATCTTTTTCGCAACGCGACTCATAATTTACATAGACCGCG